TCTTCTCATGCCTTGCCATGTTATGATGGTCATATGACCTTTTCTGCCTTAATATACTATGATGTTTTTTGATGTTTTATGCCATACTATACAATGACTCTTTTTGGCATTTTTATGTCTAATTACATTATTTCTTCTCATGCCTTGCCATGTTATGATGGTCATATGACCTTTTCTGCCTTAATATACTATGATGTTTTTTGATGTTTTATGCCATACTATACAATGACTCTTTTTGGCATTTTTATGTCTAATTACATTATTTCTTCTCATGCCTTGCCATGTTATGATGGTCATATGACCTTTTCTGCCTTAATATACTATGATGTTTTTTGATGTTTTATGCCATACTATACAATGACTCTTTTTGGCATTTTTATGTCTAATTACATTATTTCTTCTCATGCCTTGCCATGTTATGATGGTCATATGACCTTTTCTGCCTTAATATACTATGATGTTTTTTGATGTTTTATGCCATACTATACAATGACTCTTTTTGGCATTTTTATGTCTAATTACATTATTTCTTCTCATGCCTTGCCATGTTATGATGGTCATATGACCTTTTCTGCCTTAATATACTATGATGTTTTTTGATGTTTTATGCCATACTATACAATGACTCTTTTTGGCATTTTTATGTCTAATTACATTATTTCTTCTCATGCCTTGCCATGTTATGATGGTCATATGACCTTTTCTGCCTTAATATACTATGATGTTTTTTGATGTTTTATGCCATACTATACAATGACTCTTTTTGGCATTTTTATGTCTAATTACATTATTTCTTCTCATGCCTTGCCATGTTATGATGGTCATATGACCTTTTCTGCCTTAATATACTATGATGTTTTTTGATGTTTTATGCCATACTATACAATGACTCTTTTTGGCATTTTTATGTCTAATTACATTATTTCTTCTCATGCCTTGCCATGTTATGATGGTCATATGACCTTTTCTGCCTTAATATACTATGATGTTTTTTGATGTTTTATGCCATACTATACAATGACTCTTTTTGGCATTTTTATGTCTAATTACATTATTTCTTCTCATGCCTTGCCATGTTATGATGGTCATATGACCTTTTCTGCCTTAATATACTATGATGTTTTTTGATGTTTTATGCCATACTATACAATGACTCTTTTTGGCATTTTTATGTCTAATTACATTATTTCTTCTCATGCCTTGCCATGTTATGATGGTCATATGACCTTTTCTGCCTTAATATACTATGATGTTTTTTGATGTTTTATGCCATACTATACAATGACTCTTTTTGGCATTTTTATGTCTAATTACATTATTTCTTCTCATGCCTTGCCATGTTATGATGGTCATATGACCTTTTCTGCCTTAATATACTATGATGTTTTTTGATGTTTTATGCCATACTATACAATGACTCTTTTTGGCATTTTTATGTCTAATTACATTATTTCTTCTCATGCCTTGCCATGTTATGATGGTCATATGACCTTTTCTGCCTTAATATACTATGATGTTTTTTGATGTTTTATGCCATACTATACAATGACTCTTTTTGGCATTTTTATGTCTAATTACATTATTTCTTCTCATGCCTTGCCATGTTATGATGGTCATATGACCTTTTCTGCCTTAATATACTATGATGTTTTTTGATGTTTTATGCCATACTATACAATGACTCTTTTTGGCATTTTTATGTCTAATTACATTATTTCTTCTCATGCCTTGCCATGTTATGATGGTCATATGACCTTTTCTGCCTTAATATACTATGATGTTTTTTTGACGTTTTCTGCCATACTATACATTGACGTTTTTTGTCATTTTTGTGCCTTACTGTACTATATTTTTTGATGCCTGACCATACGATAACGTTTTTATGACCTTTTATGCCTTAATATACTATGATGTTTTTTTGACGTTTTCTGCCATACTATACATTGACGTTTTTTGTCCTTTTTGTGCCTTACTGTACTATATTTTTTGATGCCTGACCATACGATAACGTTTTTATGACCTTTTATGCCTTAATATACTATGATGTTTTTTTGACGTTTTCTGCCATACTATACATTGACGTTTTTTGTCCTTTTTGTGCCTTACTGTACTATATTTTTTGATGCCTGACTATACTATGATGATTTTATGACCTTCTATGCTTTAATGTACTGTGACTTTTTTTGATGTTTTATGCCTAACTATAATATGACATTTTTTGACTTTTTATGCCTTGCTATACTATGACATTTTTTTTACATTTTTATGCCTTACTATAATATTACATTTATTTTTTTAACATTTTTATGCCTTATTTGATCATGCCATTTAATGCCTTACTATACTATGACATTTTTTGGCATTTTTATGCCTAATTACATTATTTCGTCTCATGCCTTGCCAGGTTATGATGTTCATATAACCTTTTATGCCTTAATATACTATGATGTTTTTTTGCATTTTTCTGCCATACTATACTTTGACGTTTTTTGGCATTTTTATGCCTTACTATACTATATTTTTTGATGCCTGACTATACTATGATGATTTTATGACCTTCTATGCTTTAATGTACTGTGACTTTTTTTGATGTTTTATGCCTAACTATAATATGACATTTTTTGACTTTTTATGCCTTACTATACTATGACGTTTTTTGACATTTTTATGCCTTACTATACTATGACATTTATTAATGTTTTTATGACTTTCTATACTCTGACATTTTATGCCTCACTATACTGTAACGTTTTTGAAATATTTATGCCTTACTTTACTATTACGTTCTCATGCCTTAATATGCTATGACATTTTATGACATATTCATGCNTTTACTATACAATGTTATTTGATGCCTGACCACACTATGACGTTTTTATGACCTTTTATGCCTTAATATACTATGATGTTTTTTTGACGTTTTCTGCCATACTATACTATGACGTTTTTATGACTTACTATACTTTGACATTTTATTACATTTTTATGACTTTCTGTATTATGACATTTTATGCCTTACTATACTATGACATTTTATGACATATTCATGCGTTACTTTACTATGACAATTTTTGACATTTTTACGCCTTTTTATAACTATGACATTTTATGACTTACTATACTTTGACATTGCTATGCTTTAATATACTATGATGTTTTTTGACCTTTTATGCCTTACTATACTTTTTTGTCCAGCACATTTAGGAGCATAACCAAGATGGGAGGTCCACACAGCAACCATTCGAAGAAACCAAATTTATTAAAGATAATTCAATTTAATATAAGCAAAGTAGAAAATGTGAAGTCAGTAGTGTAATGTAGGTGTTGGGTGCTAGGATAATGAAAGCCAACTTAAAATACATGTACAAGAACTGAAGCCTTAACAAAAGACAATATACAACCAAGCAAAATCAAGTTGGGTCCCTGAAAGGCACCAGCGTTTCAGGAGAGCTGAGATAGAGAGGCCATCTTGAATCTCCCAGCTTAAATAGGCCACACTCAGGTGAAGTCAGTCAGTTGATCAGGAAGTACCTGAAAAAAACACAGGAACCAGAAACAGGCCTAAACAAAATAGGGTCATACAGCCAAGGTCCATCTCAATACTGTTACATTTTTATGATGTTTTATGACTTAATATACTTTTTTGACATTTTATGCCTTACTATACTATGATATTTTTTTAACATTTTTATGCCTTACTATACTATGATGTTTTTATGCCTTACTATACTATGACATTCTTATGCCTTACTATACTATGACATTTCATGGCATATTCATGCCTTAATATACTATGACATTTTTATGCCTTACCATACTATGACGTTTTCTAACGTTTTTATGCCTTACTTTACTATAACATTTTTTGACATTTTATGCCTTATTATACTATGACATTTTTTAACAATTTTTTGCCTTTAATATACTATGACATTTTTTGACATTTTATGTCTTACTATACTATGACGT